CGTGAACTACAACATCGTGAGCAAAGTGGCCCTCTTCCAGGTACCCTCTGTGGCGCTGCTCCTACCCGGTGGAGCCTGGCATGCTGGCACAGACTAATGGCACTGTTGGCTCTGTTTTGGGTCAGGGCTGCGACAGGCAGATGATCTTCGACATGCTGAAGCGGCTCAGATCGGTGGTCTACCTGCCTAATGACTTCGTGTGTAAGAAGGTAATGAGATGCTCGGGGGCCCTTCCGTCCCCAGTGTCACAGCTGGGCTGTGCAGGGCAGAGTGAGGAAAGCCAGGCCTGGCCCATCACCGTGGCATTGAGCCGCTTCACTGGCAGGGAACTCAGAGCAAAACCATCCTCGGTTGCAGCTGGTCTTGTGCAAAGACTGATCTCTTCTGCTGCAGCCATGGGTGGCAGGAGAGATGGGAAGAGCCTGCCGAGCTGGAGGAGACTTTGGGACGCTTAGATGAGGATGCTCGGAGCGAGCACCATAAGGGCAAAGCGTTTTGAGAGCTCGGAGAGGGCAGTGTGGTGGGGGCAGGGCCCAGCAGGGTGCAGGTTAGGGCATCCATAGGGTTTTCCTGTTTCTGGGCACCCCACGCAGCACCCGCCTTCACCGCAGGGGGAAATCGGCCGCGAGATGTACATCATCCAGGCGGGGCAGGTGCAGGTGCTGGGGGGACCCGACGGCAAAGCCGTGCTGGTGACGCTGAAAGCTGGATCCGTGTTCGGAGAAATAAGGTGAGCGCAGCGTGGGCAGGGAGCCGGGGAAACACGGCTCAGACACAGCTCCGGGGTGCTGGGCAGGGAGGGTGCCAGGTGGGCAACACCCTCCTTGATCCTTGTGATCCAGAGCCACGAACAGCAGTGGCTGCTACACAAATTACAGTTTTTGTTTTTTTTTTTCTTGGAGCTTTTCCGCTGTTTTTGTCATCGTGCTGCGTTCTGCCTGGGAGCTAGTGACAGTGAGCAGAGGTGGATGGAGGGATGGGAAAATGAGCAAGAAAGGGTGTTTCACTAAAGCAACCTCCCAGCTGTTAATCTGCCCATTTCACGGGCATGTAAAGTCCTGTGCCGACCTGGAACGCGGTGACGGAGTTTGCAGACACTAGACTGCTGTGAAATACCAATATTTAAACCTCCAAATGGGGGAATCATTTTTTTTTTTCTGGGTAGCGCTCCGTGCCAACGTTTCCCAGCATCCTTTAAAAATTGGGCTTGGGGAAATTTCATCGGGGGTGAAAACTAAACTCTGGGTGACTCTCTTTCAGAGAGAGATGGGGGGTCACGGTGGGAAACGGGAGCTTTCGGGTCACAAAGGCTGTGCCCAGCCCGTGAGTTACAGTGCCAATGTCTCGCCGTGTCTCGCAGCTTGCTGGCGGCAGGAGGGGGGAACCGCCGAACGGCGAACGTCGTAGCGCACGGCTTCGCCAACCTTTTCATCTTGGATAAGAAGGACCTGAATGAGATTTTGGTGCATTATCCGGAGTCTCAGAAGCTGCTGCGTAAGAAGGCCAAGTGCGTGTGGGGGCTGACGCTTTCTAGCCCAGGGGGGGTTTACAAAAAAAAAAAAATCAGAATATGTGTTTCCAGATCACAGGGGAGATTTTTCTATCTCTGCCAAGCACCGAGAAAACTCCTGCTGCAGGAGCAGGAGTTGGGCACCCGTCCCCGGAGAAGAGCCGGGCTGGAGCTGCTGTGCTTCAGCAGAGGGCACCCGTCCCTCGGCACCGCGCCGGGGAGGCCGGAGTGCCCAGGGCCAGCCCAGCCCTGCTGCAAAGCTTCACCGCGCAGCGCTGGGGCAACTGGGGAGCAAACATGGCCCAAATGCATTCACTTAAAAATCTGGTAAAATACTCACTTTTTAGCAGGACTTAGATTCGTTATCCCATCCTTCCCAAGGTGTAAAAAAAAAATCCCTGATTTAAATCCTGAGTTTTCTGCGTTGTAAAATCCAGCTAATATGACATATCCCCGGACTGAAATCATCTCTCTTTTTCCTTGCTGTAGGAAAATGCTGAAAAACAACAATAAACCCAAAGATGAGAAAGGAGCACTCAGAGACCCTCTGATCATCCCCCTGAAAGCTGACACCCCGAAGCTCTTCCAGGCTGCCCTGGCCGCCACGGGGAGGATGGGGGGCAAAGGGCCACTGGCACAGCTCCGCTGGAGGCTGAAGGAGCTGAAGGCGTTGCAGGCAAGGCAGGTGAGTGTGAGGGAGAATGGTAATTGGGCTTGGCTTTGTTAGATGCCGAGTCGCTGCTCTCCTCGACTGACTTCAGAGACTGTTGTTAAGGTGCCTTGAATCATAGAATCAGAATGGTTTGGGTTGGAAAGGACCTCAGAGATCATCTAGTCCCTGCCATGGGCAGGAACATCTTCCACTACACCAGGTTGCTCAAAGCCTCCTCCAACCTGGCCTTCAACACCTCCATGGATGGGGCAGCCACAGCTTCTCTGGGCAACCTGTGCCAGTGCCTCACCACCCTCAGAGGGAAGAATTTCTTCCTTCTATCTCATCTAAATCTCCCCTCTTTCAGTTTAAAGCCCCTTGTTCTATCACTGCATGTCCTTGTCCAACGCCCCTCTCCAGCTTTCTTGTAGCCCCTTTAGGCACTGGAAGGTGCTGGAAGGTCTCCCCAGAGCCTTCTCTTCTCCAGGCTGAACAGCCCCAACTCTCTCAGCCTGTCTCCATAGCAGAGGTGCTCCAGCCCTCAGATCACCTTTATGGCCTCCTCTGGACCCACCCTAACAGCTCCGTGTCCTTCTGATGTTGAGGACCCCAGAGCTGAACGCAGCACTGCAGGGGGGGTCTCAGGAGAGCAGAGCAGAGGGGCAGAATCCCCTCTCTTGACCTGCTGCCTACGCTGCTTTGGATGCAGCCCAGGACACGGTTGGCTCTCTGGGCTGCCAGCTCACAGTGCCGGCTCATGTTGAGCTTCTCCTCAACCAGCACCACCAAGTCCTCAGGGCTGCTCTCGATCCATTCTCCACCCAGCCTGTACTTGGGATTGCCCCGACCCACGTGCAGGACCTTGCACTTGGCCTTGTTGAACTTCATGAGGTTCTCACAGGCCCACCTCTCCAGCCTGTCCAGATCCCTCTGGATGGCATCCCTTCCCTCCAGCGTGTCCACCACACCACACAGCTTGGTGTTGTCAGCAAACTTGCTGAGGCTGCACTCGATCCCACTGTCCATGTTGCTGACAATGATGTCAAACAGCACCAGCCCCAGTACTGACCCCTGAGGAACACCACTTGTCACTGGTGAAGGCGTGAGCTCAGGACCGTGCACAAATAAGGGATAGTCCACCACCTTACATGTGGCCTTGGGAGAATGTCACTGTCCCGCAGGGTGTGTTTTGCAACACAAAAGGGAAATACATTGACTTTTCACCCAGCTAAAGCTGAGCTAAGCCTGAGTCTAGTTTCTAGATGGGCTATAGCCACCAACACACGGCTCTTCCGTGCCATGGACACAGACCTGCTTGTAATTAACCAATGTGCCGGTGGGACGCAGGCTGATGCTGGCACCCAGCACCCACAGCCTGGTCAATATTTGCAAAGCTTTCACCGCGTGGCTGTCCGAGGCCCCGGCAGCAGGCAGCCATCCTGCCAGCTCGGCGTGAGCCGCAGTGAAGTCACCTTTGCTTTTTTGTCATGAGCAACTGAAAAGCAAAGTGACCCTGTCTTCTTCTTTGTTGTGTTTTTTTTTTTCCCCTTCCAAATGTCTCTGCTGAACTCGTAAAAAAGGTCGTATCTCCATGCAGACCTTGTCACTCTTCCCACCATGGAGTTATGCGGACTATCGCAGCCCGACGTGCAAAGGGAGGTGAAAGAGCAGCTGATAGGGAGCGCGCCGTGGCCTTGGGGCTGGGTAAACACCCAGCGAGACGCTGAGCACAACCATGTCTCTGCGGTCCTTCACAGAAGCACGACGTGGCTTCACGCCACGCGGTGCTTAACGCTAATTAATAACCAGTTAAAGGCAGCAGTGAGCTGTGGCACCGTGTTCTCCGATGGCAACCAGACCCCGTGTTGGAGGGTGCACCTATTAGGAGCTGACCCCTCTCCATGGCACATCTGTAGATGAGGTTTCTGAGGCTCCTCTCCACAGGAGGCTTTAGGACGAGGCAGCCTGGGGCTGCTCCCTCACAACAACCCTTCTGCCAAGCTTTTGCCAAGATAAACCCCTCCAGATGCTTCAGGAGCAAACTGAGAGCGAGTGCCGGAGGTGTGAGAACGCTTCGTTGTGCTCATCTCCGTGCACGTCTCTCAAGACGTGCGGGACACAACCCAGCTGCCCCTCCCGCAGGAGTCGCCCTCGGCACCAAGCCGACATCCCGATGATGAGGTCCGGTGCGGTGAAACTCCACGAAATGCCTGCCTGGCTTGCACAGCGCAGATGCCATGGTTGGGGGTAGTGGACAAGGGTCTGCTAAGGTTGATTTTGCCTTTTTTTTTGGGGTTGTTTTTTTTTTGAATCACAGGATTCTAGCTCCAGTCCCATCCCACCGAAGTCACCAGTGCACCAGAGATCACCCATCACCTCCCGCAAAGCAAGCACCCACTTGGGAGAAGAAATATTCTCAAAATCTTCTGATAGTTTAGTCACCATTCGTGTGATTGCTACGGCACGAGAAGATGAAGAAATCCTTGCTGCTGAGATTTCGGAGAAAGAAGAAGAAGAAAAAAAAGAGGAATGAAAACCAAGCAGGTCCTGGGCCGGGAGTAGGAGTCAGGCAAATGCCTGTGGTAGAGGCTTTTTGTCGTTAACGATCTCCACGCAGCAGCTGTAGTCTTCGCTAAGTGCTGCAGGTAGGATCTGCCTTTCTTCTCTGCCTAGACCTTCACCCACCGTTGATCAAACCCTCTGCCATATGACCCAGAACCATGCAAGGTTTCCATGCTCTCGAGATCTATTTTTATTGAGTGTCTCTACGAATGTTCCCACTAAATCTCCATCCAGCCTTCTCGCTTCGAAATCCAGCCTTACAGAGAGGAAGCTCTGAAGAGATTGCTTTTTATGGCTCTGGGTGGTTAATGAGTGTTCAGATAAAGCGTGAAGAGTTGTTCACCTCTGACAGCTGAGTCACCACTTGGCCAGAAACAACCACGGAAAAAAAAAACCCAAGGTTTCTCCGTTGGGCTCAAGGTTGTCAGCAGCAGCTGGAGAGTGATTCATCCAAAAAAGACGTGGACTCTGCTCATGAGCTGACCACAGACCAAATCACAGTGTCACGACAAGTCTGAGGTCCGTCCCGGTGCGCATAGAATGCAAGATGCTTGGGGGTCCCTGCTTGGTGCCAGGACCACCTTGGGTTTGCTGCTGGGAAGAGGAGTTCCTGCCAACCATCTGCCCCGGGGAGGCGGTGGGCTCTTCATCACTGGTGGCTCTTATGGAGAGATTTGATGAGCATCTTTCGGGGGTGGAGAAGCGCAATGCTGGATGCAGAGATGTTCCTAGAAATCCCTTCCAGCCCTTGGTTTCCTCCACTGCTGGAGGGATAAACTGAGTGTGGGAAGACAGAAACCATGTTGGTTTCCAGCTGGGACAGGAAGGAGAAGTGCAGTAAGTGCTCTCCTCTCCCAGACAGCGTTTCAGAGTCAGGCCAGAGCCTGTAGCTCATTGCTGGACCTCAGCGACCTGCCACAGCAGCCAACTTCCAGCCCCTTTCAGCCCCTTTTTTGGCTCTTGGCCACGTTTCCCATGGAGAAGCCACTCTGGTCTTGCTCATGGTTGCAACAGGGTGCTTGTGAAGGCACTGTCCCAACCGTGCTGGGACCAGGTGCTGGATGGGAAGGCGAACACCCGGTCAGCAGCCAGCATGTCCGGCTGCCGGCTCAAGGTGTCCAATCTTCCTCCAGCACCACCAGTTCTTTGTTTTCCTCAAACCCAGCGGCAACCAGAGCAAGCTGCTGGTCAGCTGAGAGGTGACGAGAAGCGATGGGCGAGATGGTGCTAGGTGAGACCGTGCAGATCCTCCCCAGGGTTTCGGCTGGCCAGGTCTCCCCAGCACTGCTGGCTCCATCGAGAGGAGCTGGTTTCCATCCTCTGGAGGAAAAGCTGGGGGGGTTTGTCCCGGGGGGACCAGCCGCAGCCGAGGGACTTCTCAGGTGTTCAGCAAACACCGTGAGCCGCGCTGCAGGTTTCGCAGGTCTGGCCGCGGGACGGCCCGGCTGTGCGCGAAGGGCGTCAGCGCCGGCGTCACCCCGTGTGTGCCTGATCCCTCATCCCATCAGCAGCCTGGGGCTGAGCTTCACCTCCTACCAAGTCTTCTCGTTTTGTTGTGGATTTTCCCTCTCTTGCAAAATGGATGGGTTTCTGTGGCGGAAAAAGAATCTGTGTTGGCGTTAATTACCGACGGCTTGCTCCGCTCACTTTTAGGAAAATTTAACGAGCTCCAACGTACTGCGGGAGGGTCTGACGCTCCCACTGCCCTTGACACTGCAGGGGGAAACCTGGACTCACCCAAACCTCCCGAAATATTTCTTGTCCTCAGTCATTTGCAAGCAGTTTCCTGCTGGGTAGAAGGTTTCGGTGGGGAGTGCAAAGTAGTATTATTTTTTTTTCCGCTATATAAATATTTATGTAATCAAACCAGGAAACGTGCAAAAGTCAAACTGGGGTTCTCATTTGCTGGTGTGATTTGATAAGGTTTAGAAAAAGCGTTTCAATAAATAGCGGGCTGTATGGCTTTCCTAAATCACTGTATCTGCAATAAACACCGTGTAGATTACCCTTCATTTACTGTGGGTTTATTTCAAAATTCCAGTTGTTTTCCATCTTCTTGCTCACTGACGCACCGGCGGAGCCAGGAAAAGACCCCACACGTGGTTCAAACATTTTCCAATAAACTTTTCAGAGACTGAGAGGTCACATAATTCTGGTAGTAGAATTCTGGTTCTATATTTTTAATCACCAGAAGGAAGGAAAAAAGCTTTCTTAAATGGCAAATACTTGCGTGAATATCTTAGTTTTCAACATGCAGCATTGGATGGTGATGGATACATAACTGGTAGTTCTGGAACCGTGGGGAGATCTGAAGTTCTCCTCTGCAATCTGTCTTGGCATTAGTTCTTTAGAGAGATTATTCTCCACGTAAGAATTAAGGTCAAGGTAGGGTTGGGCTTACCGACTGGGTTGAAGGCGTGAGCTCGGATCTGTTGGCTGTGCAGGACTATTTAGAAATGACGGGTGGGCTG